ATCCATGTACATGTTCTGCAGTAATGGTGTATATATATAAAGATATGTGTATGTGATATGTAGTATGACTGGTGGCATGCGAGAAAAGAGAATAATACATAGACACAGCCACCCACGGCGAGTCAGCAAAAGCTTGCAAAGCGACAGCAGAAACAGCAGCTCTTGTCCCTGGTGGCTCGTTCAAAATTGTCCCGCGAGCTACAGATTTACTTTTTTTTTTTTAGTTGTTTTCTTTATCTTTTTTTACTCTTCTCACTTTTATACTTTTTCTTTCATTTCGACTTTTTAGCATCTCTTGTTATTCTTTACTTATTTCATCTATCATCTCTGTTGCTCTTGCTAGCAACTCCATCTCCAAGTCTTCAGAACGCTGTTCTGCTGCTACTTACTGATATTTATTGCGCCCAGAAATGTGTATGGGACTCATAAATCTCCGCATTCACACGGGCTTTCTAATTTACATATTCCCGACATTCTCTCATTCTTTCATTTCTTCTTGCTCACTTGCTCCGCTGATGTAGGCATACAAAAGATCCAGACTCCATCATCATCTACATACCTTGACATTACACTTATTTTATAGGAATCATTTTATACCACCCTCTGACTTGTACACCTTTTGCTACTCACTTTTGCGGATTCGTTGTCGTAGAATTTTGATGGGTCCAATGGCTTCTGGATGCTTAGATACTTCTGTACATTTTTTATCTATTGCTAAAAATAAGCATATTATTTTATTAATATAATTTAATTAGAGGAAATAAAAGTGTTTAAGTTAGATAAAGACTGTATTTTTTTTTCTTCATAAGAATAGTAATTAAATTTGAGAACTTGAATTGAATAAAAAACCAAGTCAATTGTAATTTATCATCTTGAAGAAAAAAGAAATGTGATTTTGGAACAGTTCAGTTAATCAAATTATCTAATAGTTGAGCTCCAATGAATAATAAATAATCCTTGGAAATCTTGTGTGATGGAATGTGTTGGAATATTTTTATCCTAATTAGTGCCCTTGAAAATATTAGTATGGAGTTGAAAATTGAGACCTTGTTTCGATAAAAATTTTTAAGATGAAGTGTAGTGATTTATCTGCTGTCAGCTGAAGAAAAATATTGAACTTGACTTTTCAAAACTAGATTATCTCATCTGCAAATTTTTTAAGAAATATATTATACTTGCAAAATTCTAAACACTACAGATACTCTATTTTATCTTAATAATTTTTTTTTAAATATCAAAAGAATTTTTATTTCAAAATACCATAATTTGCTTAAAGGGTGCATTGAAGAACTCATAAAATCCCTAATAAAATTTAAAAACAATAATCGAAACAATTTATTTGCTTATTTCACTCCATGCTAAAATTTGAACAATTATTTTTATTGTCAAGAGTTTCATCGAATTTTCAACATTAAATTTCTATCAAAGTATTAAAAAAATTTACAACCCTTAAAAAAATATCAAGTCCCCTAAGAGAATTTCACTTATAAGCAGTAGTTTCCATAATTCTTTTTGAGAATAAAAATTTTTTTCTCATGCATACCCACTATCTCTCCCTAAAAATTCACGATGATAAAAAATCGTTGAAAAATGGTAGCCACTAGGGTAACATTTTTCCCTTAGAGAGAATATTAACTGGAACAAACCAGCAGATATTTTTCATCGCAACTACCCTTGAGAATGAGTGTGCAGGGGCGTGAGAAATCATTATACTTAAAACCCAAGAGAGTTGTAGATCGAAGGGTTTGACTAGCGGACAATGATGGAAGGTGAGAAAGTTAAGCTCTTAGCCGTTAACGACTGACCACAAGATGCTCCGAAGAATCGCATAGTGCATTTACATACATATCCATACCTATTTCACATTATGTACAAGAAACCACAGAGAAACAAGAAATTGCTAGCGCGGTAGTGTATGACACGTACGCAGTACATAATGCGCATTAACGCGGCGTGTTGCGGCAAAGAGAAAAGGCGGAAAAGAGACAGGCAAGGGAAAAAAGAAGGGACGAGAGATCAAGCTAAAATGAACGGGGGCGGGGTGGTCGGTGCATCTTCCAAGAGAACCTCGTAAAATGGAAATCAATTACATCTACACTTAGCCACTTAAACTGGTTTCGCCACGGTCCTAAAGCGCGACCGGGACACGATCAACGAAGAAGCAGCCAAAGGAGTAAGAGAGCAGAAGAAGAGGAGTGGGAAGGAGAGAGAGAGAAAGAGCATCACGAGAGATGTATAATGGCAATGGTGAGCAGAGAGACAGAAAATGATCCATGGATGATGCTAAGACGACTTTGCCTGGTGAATCGCACTGGATATATGCAGACAGTGAGCACCGCTGGAGGCTCCTCTGGTCTGTGGCGAGCCGCAGATCATTCGTATCAACATAATTACAAGCTCGGGAGCCGCCTCTCTGTTTCTCTCACCTCGCTCCACCCATCACAACATCGCACACGTTCATATCGGAGCCGATCTCTCTTCTCGCTCTGGATCGGTCAGCGCTTTATTCACACTAATGTGTGAGGAAGATGGAAAAAATTCGAAATTAGTTGAGACTCTCAATCACGTCTCTGAAACGTTTTCCAACACTTTTTCCTTACAAATTACACAGCCGTATCTGCTTCTAAGGACACGGCCTTGTTTTTTATGCATGAAACATTTAAGTGACCTTGTTTCATTCACGTCAACACATTAATGATGGCGATCATATAGAGAGAGGAGCAAATAGAGGAAAGAAAGTCGGTGAAATAAGTTTTGATTGCGACTGAGTAATACGACTTGTATGGTTCACGACATCAAAAAGGACGAGGGTATACCTTTAAGACGTGCTCCCGGGGTTCAGGCCAGAGGGCTCGAGGTGTTAGTCACGGTAAGAGCAGACATTAAAATGGTTCCGCGTCTAAAAATAATTGCGCGCTGACAGGCCGTGAAATGAATTTATTTAATTTCAGATAGGTATAACAGAATTACACGGCAGTTGGAGGTGCGATGAAGCTTGGGTGGCGACTGAGTCGTGAAGAAAAGAGACGAGGTTTATAAACGATTATGTTTTTAGTTTTTTTTTCTTTCGTTCCTGAGGAGGAATAAAATTGTGGTGGTGATGATAAGGTCCTGGGCAAGTGAGTTTTAAAATTGTTTCGCCGGCTGCAGAATTGTTTAAAACAGTCATAAATTGAGATTGAATAATGAAGAAGTTAAATTTTAAATTGCTTCAACTTCAAAATAAGATGAAGTTGAATTACACTTTAATATTTAGTGGGAAAAAAGATTTGTGGTTAAAAATGTTTTCGACAATTTATTTATTTAATGATGTATATTTTAAAAATGAAAAGATATTTAATTCTTGAAAAATTAATTCGAAAAATAAAACCTAAAAAAAGAAAATTTCTTGATTAACTTGATAGCTATTAATCTAGATTTAATAAAAAGACATTCAATCATTTGAAAAAGTATTATTTCGTTGGTACTGTGGAGGTCATATTGCTCAAGTAGGATTAATAATAAGAATAAAAAAACATTTAAATGGCAAATAAAAACACATGACATTAATGAAAATCCATTTATTGCTTTTGACTTCATACCAGTCATCAAACTCAATGTTGATTTCTCTACAATATTTATATATTCATCATTTTTATATACAAATATGCTTTGTCTCAGGTTAAAGACCATAATTAATACTATCATGGTATCATACAGCCCTTGAACTGAAGATGTATAATTTAAACAAGTAACAAATAAACAAAAAAGTAAATATTAATCTAATTAACAAATAAATCAGCAAATCTAACTTCATTCAGTTATTTGAGGATCATCTGGTCCCAGAAAATATAAGTAAATGGTGCTACAATTTATTTCATCATCATTCTACGTGTTTCATCACTATTTACTGATGATATCAATCCGAAACATATAACAGTCTATTTTAATGATAAAAAAATTATCATAAATCACTCATTAGTGTTCAATTAATCAAGTCATTATTTTTATTATAATTGATATGATCTAGAAGAATATTCTTTTCTATATCCATTCATCCACTATGGGTACATTAATATACGTTATATATTATTTATTACCCTCGTATATATTTACACTTTCACTTAGCACGAAAATCATTTTTATATTCGTACTATTTTTCATACGGTTTTGAACTACATATTTACACACATTCAGAATGTAACAATTTTTTTTTTTTTTTTAAGATTAAATTTTAATTTTAAATCGTTGATTAAATTTATAATTTCAATTAAACACAAACATTCGAATAATAATTCACAATAAATTGATAAAACAATTAACTTTATCTAAATAAAGATTTTTTAAGTAAAAGCTTCGTGTGCTCATTTTGTACAAGGTACGACTACTTACATTATGCACAAATACACTGCTAATTGATATTTAATTAATTATAATTATTCATCATGATGATAATAATATCAATAATAACTTAACTTTATTAACATTCGCAATGTGATCATTTTCTTTGGCTCAATTCAAGGAAGAATCCCCAGCAAAAAAATTGATAACTTCATTTGCTCTCTGGCAGTTTACTATACTAATCATGGAGAAAAAAATTTAAGTCAGAGTGCAAATGTATGATTATTTGCATTGTAAAGATTGCATAATTAGTCTTGGATAAAACAAATGACGTGAAATGTCAATTTGATTGATTAAAAAGTATATATAATGGAATGATTTGTAGAATATTAAACAAGTTGCTTTTGATAATAAATATTTATCAAATATGCAAATAAATTAGCATGGCAATGGAAATTTTGCACATCTATTTAATTCATTTTTCTCCATAATTCAAGTACATGTTCATAGCACGGATAATGATCTAGAATTTGTTGAAATTTTCTAGCTCAGTTGATAAAAGATGATTCCAAAAATCACAAACATATTCTTCAATTGAGTTAATTACATTTATTAATATATATATATATATATATATATATTGTTACGAAAGTTGTACTGTGAGATTTGAAAGGATTTATTTAAATCATGTTTTTAAACTTGAGTTTAAGATGTATATCAATGTCTAATTAATCTAAGTAGAAAAATTTAGTTGTTGATAGAACAAATCATTATTTCCAACTTGACAAAGAAAAATTTAACATTTTCACTGGGAAGAAATGGCGGCTTAGAAACCGCAAGGAGGATAATAAAGACAAGAGGAGAGAAGAAAAAAATGGTGGTAGTGAATCGAGGGGATCGCTAATTGGGGGTGGTCGGGCGTGCGCGAAGTGGCGGCGAAGTAGATGTTGGAGTTGGATAGGGCGCGTACCTGACCCCAGCGGTCGAGGGAGACGATCGTCGGGAGATGATTGCCACAGGCGGTTGCCAGGACCACGAGAGGGCGGGATAGGGGAATGAGGGTGTTGTCGAGTAGGGAGATGATGTGCCTCCCCTCGTTCCATAAAGGAGTGCTGTTGAGGGTGGTAACCACGAAGCTAGAGGGTGCTGCGTTCCATCAGGCTGCTGTTGCTGCTGCTGTTGAACACTTAAAGCACTTGCTGCTGGTGATGTCAAAGCCAAATGTTCATACAGTCTTACTGGAGGAACTCCACAACGAACTAATTGCTGTTCCATTAACTCCATTGGATCTCTGTAACACAAAGTAACAATGATGTTGATTAGTTCAAAAATATTACTCATTTTTTTACTACATACATTAACTCTAGAATTTTAATTTTTTTATTTTTAAATAATTTTTTTTTTTTTACTCTCATCATTTAAATAGATTTTTAATATTGTATGTGAACTTAGAAAATTGTTTTTCTTTAAAATGGAAATATTGATTCATTTTCACTAATATTAGTTTCCATGGAATAAATCTTCAAATAGAATTGTCTGATGAAAAAATCATCAGCTTTTTTCACTTCTATTGATCTTCGTGAATTTTAAAAAATACTTGGTTATCAAAAAGAAATGCTTTGATTGCAGTGTTTGGAATTGAAATCTTTTTTTATAGTTTATGTGAATATCTATTCATGCTTATTGTTACCAATTTAAGAAAAAATATCAACGTGATGAAGCATAAATAATTTTTGCAATCACATTCTTACAAATCTTCTGTTGTTTTGCAAGTATCAATATCATTGTAGATCTTCGCAATTATACTAATTAGTAATTATTCGAATAAATTTTTTAATTCAATAAATTACAGAAATGATTGTCTTTTGACATTTGCAAATGTCAAAACTTCCGGAGTAAAGAAACGAGACAAACAGCGTGATGAATGATTTTCTCGTTGATTCGTATACGTGCAAGTAAGCTTAATTAGGGTCAATCGTTGGTACGATTGTGAATCGATTTCACGCTTGATTACAATCGACGGGAATATCCATGCTGACTGGCGAATTATTCCTCCTGAACCGAGAGTTAATCGCCGCGGGTAAGCGCGTCGTAATTAACGCGAGAAAGAGAGAGAGGGTCAAGGGAGAAATGAACATAAAGTGCATACGTATCTCTTTAATACGAGTCATTTCCTACTTTCTCAATGCTCACGTGAGTTCGTGTGTGGGCATTCATGTCTTTGCAAATGAAATCATTATATGCGTGCAAAAACTCTTGAAAAAATGAAATAACTCAAAGCATCAATTAGTCTATTCATCAATAATTCATTTTATTACTAAAAAAATAGAAAAAAAATTTCTAATGAAAAAAATAATGATTATTTTTTTTTTTGAAAAATAGAATAAATATTTTTTTAAGTAAATTTGATTCTACTCGACATGTAATCAGACGCTACTTTGAGTGATATAAAGCAGTAGAATTGAATAAAAAAATAAGGCAAAAACGAAAGAAGGAACAATGGATCGGGTGTGCCAACTTAACGCGTCTCGCTTACAACTCGGACGTGCTGCTTAGCATGTAACTCGATACCAATCTCCTTTACCCATATACCTTCCTCTCAATTCCTCTTGTGTGTCCCCTGCATATGCACTAACGCAATCTGAAGAGCATTGAGGTACTCACGGATACAAGCATTATAGGGTAAGAGTGTAAGAAACAGGAGAAAAAGGGAGAAAGAAGAGAGGAAGGAAGGGATTAGGGTTGGAGCCTGCGGCTAATCGCCGTTCACTCTTGGACGTGCCGGACCACACACCGTCGTGTCCACTGCTGTTCTTTCTCGCACGTTCTAGTGAAATATCACCAATGTCGAGCACCCAAACTCTATTAGCCGATCCATTGGCACCCAGCGCGTTACACCAATTGATTTCCCGTTTCTTGTGAGTGTGAGCTTTAGACCATTTCCTCTATCATTTCGGAGTAGACTAACATGTGGAAGACATAAAAAAACTTTACAGCAGTTTTTTTTCGAGGGAAAAAGTGTTTTGATAGAATTTTGATTGCTCTTTTAGAATTACTGAAATGAGAAAAAGTGATAGTAATATGAATAAAAGAATAACAGATGGTAAAATAAGTTTGTTATCTTGAAATACTAATCAATTTTTATTTTCAAAGACAAATTATCACTAATATTCAAATATAGAATACTCTTGAAAACAACTTTGAAAATGTACAGTCACTGAAATGACTTTAAGTAGACTAAATTCTTTCACTTAACACCTATAGTCAACAACTCAACTCTACTAAATAGGCTATAAGGCAACTTTATTTCCTACAAAGTAGAAAATGTTTTCAATTCCATCTTCATGACTGAAATAAAGTACTTTATGAATCGATAATAGCATAGCAGAGACTAAAAATAAAGTATTTTACAGCAACACTAAAGAATGAGACTATGAGGCCACTAAGTCAGTGTCGAACAATACACTGAACAAGGAATTTCTCTATTGCTAATAAATTTTATTAATTACAGATAAATCTCAATAATTACCATCTAACTTTATCTATCATGGATAAATCTTATTGACTGCAAACAAACGTGGATAAAAAATTTCAGAGAAGATTGAGAAAAATGAATGAACAGTTTGAAAAGAAAGGATAAATTAAAACCAAGTTTCACACTTTACACTTTGTATCTCCTAGTATCATCAAACCCAGTTGTACAAATTATAACACTAGTATCTCAAATGATGAGAATGCGAAGCGGAAATGACAAAGTGGTACCATAATCCGCCCCTCTGATGGAATAGTACATGTAGCCTTGAATTATTTCTTATCTTTTCATGAAGCTTCTTACATACAGAGGCACAAAAAATATCATAATTACAGTTATATTAAACCAATGATCAAGTGTTACCATCAGGATTTTCCTATTATTATCGACATCTATGTAAGTACATATTACTTGTTCATATTTTCTATATATAACCACACTAAGTGCCTAGATGTTCCTGTATATAATAATGTGACCCACAAATACTAATGTCTAGTAATAATGTGTAATAAATAGTATGTGATTCGACAACTTTACACATTTCCTCGCGATGGTTCATTTCGTGTACAGCAAACGTTCTAATTAGAAGCCGCACTACACGAGGTCGAGGCTTGGATGCCGCCTCTTGAGGCCGAGAAGCAAGAAGAACAGAACTCGATCATTAAAGCATCCACGACGTTTACAGCTCCTCCCACCTGAGTGTTGGCCGTGATACTGCGATCCATAAATACGAGTGTGTTAAAAAAATGGAAAAATATCTTCAAGATGTATAGAGTCCTTGATGTTGGAAATATGCATAATAAAAGGACCACTCTGGAAGGATGTGAGATTAAAAAGAGTATATTAACTGCGATAAAAGCTCCCATCGTGTGTGTCGCCTCATCATCGCATTTTCTTAACTCACGCGATGTTTCTTCTTGCACTACTGATCATCGATCGTCAAGATCAAGATGAGAGACAGTTTAAGCGGATATTATACGTGCAAAGTGAGCCGGCTCTTTCAGAGACTTTTTAGTAAGAGAGGCGGCTTTTCTTTTATCCAATTTTAAATAACTCGACGACATGGTCCACGCGAGGAACACCCCGTCGCTTCTCTTGATCAACCACTCACCTCCTAAATTACTCTGGATTCTTGTGGTTTCCAAAACATGCCAACGGATATATATAAATATCTGAAAAAAGAAAGTGCTCCTGGCGATCACTTTGTAATCTTCTTCTGCAGCTCTATAACTTGGGAATTCCTCTGAATGGATCATGGTATTTTCACCCTCCGGCTAGCTGACATAGGGTATATTAGCTAAGTGGTAGATAATAATAGATTACACCCTGCTGATGCCGGACCCCTGCTACATGCATGTGTCTCTCATATATATGTGCAGTTATAGACGATTATTAGGCTAATCATTGGATGAGATTGCATACAACAACAACTGACATGCAGAGAATAGAGAAGATAACACTTGTGTTAGAGAATCATTTGGGGTAACTGTATGTCGTTGAATAAGTGTAGGAAATGTTTGGTTTGTTGGATAAGCAGACCTGAAGATGTTGGTGGTTATGGTACGTTTATGTTATGTGGTTGTAAGACATGATAGAAATGACACAGCTTACAAAATGCTAATGGATGCTTTGATTTATTGGAGAGGTATCCTGTTGAACATGCAGGAAGATGTTTTGAAGAATATTTTTTTTATTATTTATTAAAAAACATTTTAATGTGCTCTGTGTATAAATCATTAACTTCTTGAGATGTAGGATGAATTTTTTATGACTTTTGAACAGAAAAAATTATTTTAAATTCTAATGTTCTCAAAACTGCATCACAGTCTTCATCATGAATATTCTAGTTATTTATTTAATTGTTTTGAAGTTTTTAATAAATTGAAGTTGATATTATGTTTATTTATTGCTAAGATATTAATTCCAGTAATTAATAAATAGTATTTATTGAAAAAATTGTATTGGAATGTTTGCAATGTGCTAAATAAATTAAAAAAAATATAATTGCAGACGTTTTTTTATGTGATGATAATCACAAAGTATTAAAGAAAATTACAGGAGAGTTTTCTGAACAATTAGAAAGCAAAGAACTTACTTCCAATGAATCTTAATAAACAATAATTTGAAGCTTATAGAACCACATATTTCTTCGTTATTATTTAATTGTCGAAAAAAGTAGGACTAAAAGCTCGTTAAAATTTTTTATCCTATTCAACAAAAACTCCAAGTACACGACAATATTTATATGCGTATAATTTTCAGACTTCTTACTAGCTTTTTTTTATCGTGAGACATAAAAGTCAAGAGTGGTACACTTGGTTCGATTAATGACTCTATACAAAATTGCAAAATAATGGAAAAGATAATGATGAAGAATAATATACAAGAGCCAAGTTATAGAGGAATGTCCTGATGGTCTCGATGAGCAAGAAGCTATATAAGAAATACGAGTTATGCCAAAGGATCAGAAAAAGATGACAAAGAAAAATGAAAAAGCAAGATGAGAGAATCAAAGAAGAGAAATGTGAAGAGAGGTGGATCAATTGTGGAGAAGGAGGGAGCGAGTGTAACGGCGAAGAAATTAATAGCCATAAAATATGAATAGAAATTAGCAGGTTCGGGGTGGCGTGACGCGTTTGCTCGCTCATTTCCTTTCGGCGCGTTGAAAAACAACAAAACAACAAAATATGGTCTGAGTCTGTAATTTACCCGGCTGCCGCCGACCGCGGCCACTCTCGGCGAATCAAGCAGTACATGATCATCTCTCATGAATGTGTGAGAGCAGCAGACCCTCTTACTTGGCTCACCTCGGGATTGCGCGTGTGCGCATTTAGAACAGGGCAAAATGTGATGCTCGAGAGAGTGAATAGGAACTGCCTTACCGTCGTCACACGGTAGGTATATTGATGGTAGGTAATGACTCGGTAATGATCATGACGCCTTCACCAGGGTTTCATCTCCACCAATCAGAGGTGTACATCCAACTTTTAAATATTTCATCTCATCCTGATCTTAATACCTTTGAAGAAATTTTCAAGACATTACTGGATTTCATTGAAATAATGCTCAGACTTAGGAATGAAATCCCACTTAAAACAGATTTAGACATTGGCTAAACCCACAACAACTGAGTCTTAAAATCATCTTGGATTTGATATTGCTTACAGATAATCCAAATTATAGAACATCAGTGTCGTTTAAAATTTATCTAAGCTGTTGATAACACTAAGCTTGCCAGAATAATGTTTACATAAAATCTTTAATATTATTACTATTTTGGAGTATTTTTGGAAATAGTCTAATGACTAGAGCCATTTAGATTGAAGCAGCAGGTGTTCAATCATTATTTTTTCTTTGTCAGATAAAATTTATGAATTTATCAAAATGATTATCAATTATCTACAATGATTTCTAATTCTTTTCTTGATACATTTATCTTTAGTTTAAAATATTTTTATGAACAGAAACCAATCGTTTAAAAATGCTCCAAAATGGATTGTCATCAAGAATATTTAAAGGCTAAAATTCCAACAGATTTACTAAACCCAAAAATGCAACGTAGCAAGTGTTGGATCCTTTGAAAAGAGCTAAGCGACCTTATCATTGCCAAGATTTCATTACATCCAGGATATATTTCCTCTTTTGTTCCCCTGTTTTTAAACCTCATTCACGGCCCCTTTGTTTTTGCGTTTTAAACGGCAGTTATTAGCTCTGTAGCCATGCAGCCTGCGGCTTATTCTCACTCATCCCCTTTTTCTCGCCCTAGAAATCGACCTGCAGCTTTAGCCGTGGGTCTCACAGTCTTAAAGCGGAGAAGAGGTAATGTGAAGCGCTAATGGGCCAGCGAAGACGAGCGAAACCTGAACGTGGTAGTGATGACGGTGATGGTGGTTGCATATATATCTGACTCTGTATTCTGGGATATTGGTAAGCCAGACTGAAAAGATAAAAAGGAAAGGAGAGAGAGGAAGAGAGAAATACACACCACTAAAGTGGGATCAGAGGGTCGGGGAGAGTCGAAAGGCGGCGGCGGTAATGACAGGCCGCCTGCTCTCGAAGCTAATATAGATGAATGCCTTGCCCTCCTTGCCCTCCGGTGCGAGAGGGTCTCTGGACGCGCTCCGTACGTGGATCAGCTACAAGACGTACTCGTGAAGAGAAGAAAGAAGCGAGAAACATGCTAAAAGCCAGATGAAGGTGAGGAAGAATTAGAGGAAGAAAAGGAATAGCAGAAGGGGTGCTACAGAAGGGAGTCTAAGGGAAATAAGAAGAAACAGGGAGGCCGGAGGGGCATCTATCTATCAGCGCCGGCGTGAAGTGGGCGGGTGCATGCGCGGTATTGCCGCAGAAGGCCGCTCTCTCATTAACTCGAATGCCGCCGCAAAGACCGCGGCAGTGCGCATGCTCCAAAGTTACGTGTTATCGGCCGCAGGTTGCTTCGAGTACCTTTCTCCCCTGTGTCCTCTTCTTCGCTTTGATGCTTCTACATAGAGGAATATCATCACGCCCGATAATTCGTACGTGCAGGACCGCGCCCCTGCCACGCTCAATATCATTCTCGTCGACTTGCGCGACACGTTCTCCTCCACCAGTCTCTCTCTCTGTCTCCTGCCGAGTTTACCCTTTCAGACTTATGCTCAATTTCATCAACTATATTCTAGAGTTGTGGAACTTTGGGAGGAAGGGACACAGCGAGAGAACGAAAATTAAAAACTTGCGTGAGCTCTGCAACTCATTTTTAGACCTGCTTATTTTTCGAGTTGTGTTGAGGTCAGAATATAATAAAGGACAGGTGTTGATTTGTAGGAGGAGGGCTTGAACGATGGGCGGGTTATATTTCGTCGAGAATCGCAGAATAGTCTCACGGAAAAGGGTTTTAACTTTCTCTCAGGCTTTTTTTTCATCACTAAAAAATCATTCCATTATGAAAAAACAAGCTATTCCACTTGGAATTATTATGGAATGTCTACATGTGTTGTAGATAATCTAAGAATGCACTTTGGTGCAGACAGCTGTTGACTTATTCCTAACGAATATATATATTTTTTTAATGTTTGTTATGTGTATATTATAATGTAGTAATATTCTGATTGAATATGAACTGCTCATATGAACTCACCTATCAAAGTCCGTGAGTCGAGACGAATCCCGGAAGCCTTTAGCAAACGGATTACTGTCAATCTTGAGCTTTGTAATCTAGAAAAAAATATTTATTACTTCAGGTAGGCGTCCAAGGTCATACGGTTAATAACAAATTTTGCATAGATTAAAAATAGCACTGCGTGATAGAGTTTTTGTGAGGTTTATCGTAATGACTTTTATGCTAATTAAATTTATAGTAAGAGTTGACTTTTATTTATGATAAACAGAATTACTAACAAAAAATTTTTTAATAATGTTGATAATCATTTGTTCTTAACGAACCAAAAGGCAGAAGTATTTTCTTTAAAAAATAATAATAGCAAACAAAGCCTAGGGTTAGAAGCTTTTATTGATTTTAATTGTTGATGATAATGAAAAAAGTTAATTAAAAATTACTAATGGTTTTGCATGAATACCTTGTTTTTATAGAAGATTTACAATTTGTAATACTTTGAGTAATAAATAATAAAAAAATCAGCTTAATAGAAATATAATCACGCAACATGATAGATTGGTTAAAATTTTTTTTAATAAAATGATTTAAAATACATGATGTACCTTCAACAAAACACCCCATAAACAGTTGCATGCATTTAATAACCGATCATTTATTTTTTATAGTTTATTTGAACGACTATACATAAAAAACACTTTGTCTTTTCTATGTAAAATTCCCTTAAATATTTAGATACTTTCGAGTCATTTTAATCTAAAAGAGAACAAATAAAAGACAATTACCAATTGATTTTGGTAGGCCGTGACAGCAGTAAAAATAGCTTCAGGAAAAATGAAGGTTTTATGTTCTTCTTTACTGAGATCTGTGATTCGATAATTTTTATCATCTTCTCTGCCTCGATATTTAACCAAATGTATCCTTGGCTGATACCGATGCATAGAGTTGAGTACAATCTGCAAAAAAAAAAAAACAAAATATGCCGGTATTAATTAAAAACGTTAATTAAAACACGGTTTGTTGGTCTCATATAGTGCTCACACATATCCTTGTAAATAATTAATTTATGGAAGCCATAAATTAAAAGAGTTAGACGTTGATGTATATATCAAAATCGTCTGCAATGGTGTTGGTATCGACGCATCATATCAATTCTTATCTTATAACTATCTGCACTTGCAGGACGTATATACAATGCATATGCATAAAACATTTATAAATACGTGTGTTCACATGTTGTATATATAATGCATCGATGTATTCAGACAGAGAATCAGCCTCGCGTGATCCAAATGAAAAGCAAGCACGCGCTTTTATAGTGAACACGCGATTGACCTGATAGTCAACTTATTTATGATCGATTTCCTGTCCTAAACGATGTGTGTGCTCGAGCATGCGAATCATCAGAGTGACGGATTTTTTGTGTCAACCCTCAGAATCATCAAATCATCACTCCAATTAACCCGTATGTATACATGCATATGATGTAGTCGTTTACGCTAAAAACATTATAGGCTATATGTTATTAGATACTATGAACTCAATACAATTTATCTATTATTCAGACTGTCGTTCAATTAAGTTTATTCTCGGAGTCTTGATCGATATTTAAAAGAACTCAATCCTTATATATTCTTTCAAACATATTTTTTAATAACATTCAGATTTCTCTTTTTTAAACAAAACAATAATAATAAATTAAAAACATTGTTGCATTTATCACTCATATTTAAAATGATTTTGTTTAAAATTTTATAAATTAGTTGTTATTTTATCACGCTGATTATTAATAATATAATTGTTTATTGTAAAGTTTGTAAATATAATTAAATGCAATAAATTAATTAAAAGGTCAAGTAGTTGTCAATATAAATCAAACGTAAGTTTTTCCAAAGTTTTTTGAATAAATTAAAAATATCTCAACTCATAATCTATTGTAAAGTCTAATTTTTAAAATGACTTCACTTTGATATCTTAATAAAAGGAAAAAAATTGTTATCTTTTAAAAGTTTTAATGATATTCAAAAATCTGTTTTACAGTAAATTATTTTAGATTTTTTTTCAATTTTAAAATGAATGATTTTTAGTTAAATAAGCTACAAATCATTGTCGTTGATCTTAAAAAAATCAAAATATGGAATTCCATTTAGAGAATTATAAATAAAAATAAGGAATGTTTCATATCATAAATCAGAAAGGAAAAAAAAGTGAACTTTTTCTATATCATACTTATACATATAGCTAATTTCCATAAGGGTTCGTTTGTCGTCAAATATTCAATACTTCATTTTCATCTAATGAATTTCAATTCAAATTTATTCCGATTGTAAATTTATATATTTTTGATTGTGTATGAAATTACGAATCATGATTTTTTTATTTTTATCCTACATATATTATGATTCTAACCACGATAATTATTAATGTCTGGTGAAAGCATCATAAATTATAGTGCCCAAAAAATTTTCTACACATTAATAAGTGCTATTCACAAAGTGTTGCTATCAACTTAAAACAAATATGGCATTCATGCAACATAAAACCAATGAACCTTAACCATATGGGTGGTCCATATTCACCTTACACTTGTGTTAAGTATAATCGACTTAAAATTCTCATGATCATTTACATGTATACACCAAGAAAAAAATTATCCCAGAAAACCACAATACTTTACAAATAAATTCCTACCAACATTATTCAACAATAAACTTCATTACTCCATAATTATTTAATGAAAAAGTTTATTTTGTTGTAATTAATTTTCATTTCCAGTGAATAATAATGTTGCATTATTCTGTATTTTATTTAAATTCTAACGAGTATCCTTTCGACGACAACAGCAGCTTGTTACATTTGATGAATGAAAGGTATTAATTCTCGAATCAATAGCCAGCATATGCTAGAGTTCTTTAATTTTCCAATCAATGACGATAAAAATGAAACAACTACAACTTGAAAAAGGGTATTATACATTTCCTATAAATAGTAAAAGTGACGATAATAAAGAAGCAGCGATGATGCAATGAAACTCATATCCGTTAAATGAATTCTCAAATCTATATTTGAATGACTCTTTATATGGGTAAGAATATTGCATTATAATATCGAGAAAATATTGGAGATAAATTTAATAAATGACTGAAGGAATAAAAAAAAGCAGAGTAATATATATTATCACTAATATAAAATATGATGGCGGCTGTGAGCATGTTCTCCGCAACTGTTGAAACTGTTTAACGACCCGCAGGTGGCCTGAAGCATCGGGGCCTCATACAACAGCCACCGTAGGGCTTACGTGTCTCACTTATACGTATCACAACTAGTTCTCTTTCTCACTTGGTAACTCATTTACATTTATACGTAGGTGAGAAGACGAAAGAAAGAAAGAAAATTCTTGGCATCTGATAAACCTGTCGTAGCTATCTTTAATTCGATGACTTACTTTATTCGTAAAAAAGCCCGGTGCATTTTTTCCCCTCAAATTCTTCTGAATCGGCTTTAGATATGAACGATAAATTTTTATCATAATCGTACAACGCGAGTGTACATCCGGTTCGCTTCTCCATTGTCATGGGCCCATGTATTACGAGCTACTATACAAGTTCAACATAAATTCCTTTGATTTCCTCTTCGAGGAGTTGAAGACCATTGAGCACTCTCTTCTATGCAAATATGTACGAGCCAACAAATATAGCTACTGGTAAGCAACCTGGAGAGGTAGTATATTTGACTCATAAATACCTTTGAGAAAATATAGGTGCTTACTATGGTTTGTTGGAGAAATAGTCAATTTGATTGAACTAGTGAGAAATTTATTGATTTTTTTTTCCATTTGTATTTTTAATTTATGTTTGAAATGTTCAAAGTAAATATGTAGATTTTTTTTAGTATTTCTTTGTAGAAATAAGTCATTGATGATTTTTAGAAATATTAAAAATCAATAAAGATGAGTAATTTTTTTAGAATCTTCAATCATATTAATTAGCTATTTTTAATAAGAAATAATAGTTGCAAAAGTCTGATTTAATAAACAAAATTTTAAAATATTATAAAAATAAAGGAATAAATTTAAAAAAGCATCTTTTTGTAGAAATAAACAATTCACCTTTTAATCCCTCTAAACAAAATTAATTTTATTTCAATGATTTAAATAAACTTTTATTACAAATATTTATTTGCATTAATTATTAGACAATTTAAAGGTCCATTTAGCAGGAAAATAACATAAAATATTCACAATTACTTGTCGCAAGTGAATTAAGGTATAATGATGTTTATCGATTGTTAGTTATTTACTTAGCTGGTTTATCTACCTCGCTAAATTTCCTTTCAAGACTTGTTTTCTAAGCCCATAGATTTACTCTGTCCATATTATGCTCAAACTGCCTCTTCGAATTACATAAAAATTCTCAATTTCCAGGTATTATACCATCAATAACTCCAAAGGATGAAAAACTAATTATCCAGTTTTTCATATTTCAATTTCTTCATACACTCATTAATAATATGCAAGATCGCTTTACTACGGGTCAAGAAATCGAATGAGTTCTCGTTATACTATGCCATATGCCTCCTGGAAACTCTCTCCTTCACTCGTATTTTCACTTGATATCTCTTCCTCTCTTCAGTATAGTAGCAGTATAGCATGATTTGCATGTGGCGATTTATCAAACAACGCGCCATCCATGTAATACACGTTGATAGCGGCATTACACGCGCGATTTATAACCACCCGGTCGTTCAATTTTTTCTCTTCTCTTTTATATTTTGTATTTTTTTAATCCATTCAGTCATTCGTCGTTTCTACACCGTCATCATCATGTTGAAGTGTATATAGTATAAGAAGTAACGGGTGCGTTTGCTGGTGTAGAGTTTAAATATCGATCCCGCTACTGGTTATGTAATTAGGCGCCGAGATCATGGTAAATATTTTTGAGGATTAGTCAAGGTTTATAATGCCTATACAGACTATACCTACATGGTTATGTATATGAATGTACGTATATACATATATTTTTCAGTACACCCAATGTCGATAATTAACGCAGCTAAACGACAAGCTACACGATTACTTGTCATTGATTTAATTAAATGACCACAACCGTCTTGAGAGTAAGTGAGATCACTTGAATCAGGTAAGCAAGTTATGAGAGAAAAAAAAATAGCTACATGAGAAAGGTGTTTACTTCATTGATTATAGCGCGCTACTTTTAAATTATCGTGCGTGCTAAGAACAATTTTACCGTTAATTTTATAAATTCATCAAGAAGGTGTCTTCATTTGTTGACGATGCATGCATGTACATTTAAGTGAATCTCAGATTAATGGTACAAGTGTACCAAATTTACATTTGGGTAAGATGTTTTCATCATACTGTATATTATAATGTCATGTTGATTACTTGGAATTTATTATCAACATTGAAAAGTCAAAAACTCACTTCCCAACACTTATAAATACTTATTCAGAGCTGTTGTTATCAGTTGGAGAATATTGATTTGTAAAATAATTTAAATAAAATGAAAGAAAATTGTAGTGGTGTTTGTTGATTAAATATTCAAGTCATTCAATTACTAGAGTTCTAAAGTCTTATTTAATTGATAAATAAAATAATTTAAATGGCGAAACACCAGTAAGGCAATGTAGACTTGAAGATATTTTTTATAAAGCTGACCAGTCTCTGATTACCAGCTTAATTTGTTTCGACTTGGAGCTCGTTTTCATTTCCAGCCAGTGTCTTAATTAAATCCAAAAATAGCTGGAAAACCTTTAAGCAGGAAGACTTGATATTGCAGTTAAAAAGGTATGATAACATAATAGAATACTCCAAAATTCTATTCTTGATGTCAGTTTTTTATTTTACTCTTCAACAATCCTCCTCTTTCCAGAAGCTGTCGAGAAAAACGACGTTTACCCTCGGCCTCTGCCAGGAAGCTTGTCACGACACGCTTGGCCGCACTCACTACACGCGTTCGTATCGTAGTGCTATCGTATTTACAAGCCTAACACAAGTTTCTACCGTGTATGTAAATCGATGAAGGAAGAAAAAAGCTAGAAAAGGAATAAAAGAAACCAAGTGAAATAATAAAGTGAAATGAATGCGACAAGAAAAAGCTCATAAGCTTCATTCAATCTGATTGTTACTTTATTTTAAATTTGTACCCTTGGAAATGTAACACCTCCCCATGATACTGCTCCAGGCATGAACCGTGAGAATACTTTTTCTCAAGCGTATATTCTCTTAATTTAACTATATATATACGCACGAGTAATACGAGAAGCCTTTGCTAAAGTGACAATGTATGAGTATAATATCAAAGTAGACATTCTTTTTCAACGATATTCCGAATAAAAGGTAACTTTTGTGTACTGCCTGATATGGAGACTGGAGAATGATCCTGTATCCGTGTCAGAGTGAGAAAAAATCAGACAGGTACCAACACTTTTATCCAAGCAGTTCCTTTTGGACCACCATGTAGTAGCTGCTCACAGATGGGGGTCTTATAATATCACGTCATACGAAACGATGAAATAGTGGCCATAGCTAAGGAATGTTCCCTCTACCACTTGAGTCGTCGACTTGAGTTGACTGGCATTGCGTGGCTCCAACTTGACTCGACTGCTTTTACCGGTGTGCCTTGGATTCTCTCTGTCTCACTTAGTTTCTCTCATACACTCCTACTGTCCTGACCCCTTGCTTTATTCGTACGCACACTTTGGTGGAAACACCATGATGTGGGTGTGAATCAACCCCATACACGTGTATGTAATAGTCTCCATCTCACATGTGTTTGTACATATTTAATGAGAATCTTATAAATGTGTACATAGGCAAGTTGGTGGAAAGAGAGAACGAAGAGGTTGAGGAAGAAAAGAGAAGAAAAGGGATATATATGAGAGAAGGAAAGCAGGCGTGGGCTACCCGTGATCATCATGACAAAAGCTTCGGGCAAACATTCGCTTAATTTATTAGCTTATAGGCACGCTGGGGTGTGACCCAACCACCTACGACACCTATCCAACTATATACACGCCTCGATCAAGAATATAACGGCTATAACGTTTACCGATATATTCTCGATCGTTTTCCGTATTAAAGATGCGCGTGAGCGTAAATAGTCATAAGCAGGTGAGAATAAAATTTTTAAGACCGGTTTAGGATATATAGACATAATATGTTGAAGAGAAGCTCGACATTAAATTGTCAGTTTTATGAATAAGTGCCGATCGCATTCACCAGCAAAAACTACACACATAGTTAGCACATCATGTAGAGGAGGAAAAAAATTGCGGAAGTGTCAAGATGTATAATGAAATGCACGATTGGCTTGTCATCAATTTCAAGTCGAAGGGAAAAAAGAAATAGATTATGAATTCTTGCTTTGTAAAAATACTGCGGACGTAGCTTTGATTATCTCTGATTTACCTGTCCATGTTTATCCATGTCATTGTTAGTAAGCTTCACTTTCTCAAATGAGACAACTTGTTTTCTCAGTTGTTCTCCGGTAAATGGTGAATCGGGATGAACATAAAGTCGAGCTGGCGCTGGAGGATCTGCTTTGCCTGCCACCAACCAAGAACTCCGGTGATATGCATATCGGTATCTTTTGTCATCAACGGGAACGATGTCCATTAAAACTGCGTAACGGCCGTCGGGTTTGAGATCACTAAAGGATACTCTGCATGTTGGGAACATTCGTCTGAAATTCAAAAATAACATGATTATTTTTGGTAAATATAATTTTATTTTAATCATTTCATGCTATTCCATTATTGTAATTGTAAGAAAAATAATGCTGTTTTCATAATTAACCGATATTTTAATAAAAGTAAATAATCAGTATAATTCTAAAGGTGAAACTATGACGTATAAATAAAATTAATCCTATCTCTTTTTTTATCTATTGATGTTAGAAATTTTGATCATAAAATTTACTTTATTTCAAAGAATTCAGTTATTTAATTTTAAGTTAAAGAAAATTCTTTTATAATTATAATTTTTTTTTTTTATTAAAAGCGAATGTCTTCCTTCAGGTAATTACTTTACTCTAAAAAAGAATCACATGCTCTACATGATTCATAACCACCTCCATCAACATATCTCACATCATCAGCTAGATAATTGCGGAAAATCCATTTTCATCTCTTAAAACCAATATGGCGAGGCAAGTCTTTCTTCCTTCAGATCAAAAATTTGGATTTTTAATATTCTTTAGTAACTAAAGAAATCTATAGGGTTTTTAAAAATCCTACCCCATTAGCAAGGTAGAACTATTCCATTGAATTTACTACCCCTTGACTAAACTATTTCACAGCTTTAAAAAAACCTTTTAATTCAATAGGATTAAAGTCAGTTTCCTTTTCCATTATTTAAATCAAAATATTGATAGGTAGTCATTTGTTACTAAAATTAAATCACTCAAAAATCATTCAAACAAAAATTACAAGTTTTGCCACACGGCATAATATTTACCAACAATGTGACAGCCTTAAAATAATCCTTAAAAATGTTTCATGTTTTTTGTACTTAAATATATACCCAAAGACGTGACGAATTGTCAGTATTTTAAACACCTAATTCATTCGCACTCACGAACGGAGAGCATATGGTTAGCACAATCAGTGTTACGAAAAGTAAGGACATTTAAAACGAGATAGAATAGGTTAAAATGACATCAGTTAAGGAATGATGGTTTCCCCTGCATAGTGTGACACACGTTTAGAAATCGAACAATTGTCTCTCATGGATATGGGTTAGATAAATACGGACCATGTCACTGGCGCGATACTTGACAACAACATGGGTGACAACGTCAGGGCAAGTCTCCTGGGGTGCTAAGCAACGTAACAGCAGTAACCCTGCGTTTAGTCTCTCGAGAAAACGTACAGATAGAAACCTGCAGCGAATCGCTTGGGACAGACCTAAAGACCGAGTGACAAGTTGGCCGAGGCCTTGAGAAAAACAGCAAGGGGTATGACGAGTTCGAGGACGCATGCCAGGACACCTGCTAACTCTAACATTCCTATCTGAAAGAGATCACACTTGGAAAGTTGTTGCTTGCAAATTGTCATAATTTTTTAATCTGTAAGTATCTTTAAAAATATCATATATTATATATTGGAGATGACATGTGGAAGATTGGAGCAAAATAAAACATTAAAAGCTCAACTGTTTCTTTTTTTATTCTAGAAGTTGATGAAATGCTAAGAGTTTAATAGAAATTTTTTTTTTAATTGTTAAGTAAATGAAACTAAATATAAACATAAACAACACAAAAAATTGATAAATAAAGAAATAAATAAATTTAATTAGATGAAAAAAAATTATAAAAACAAATTATCTCAAGTATTATAGAAATAATTATGGTAATAAAAATTACTTCGTTTTACTAAATTAATGTACAGAAGCTAGAATTTGATGTATATTTTTTTGTTTGATTTATGAAGACTCAAAATAATAGTTAAATATTGGCTGTAGACTGAAGCTTAGTAGGAATGAATTGAAAATAACGATTGTAAAAAATAGATAATAATGATACGGTTGGGAGAAATATAGAAAAATATATTGCACAGCAATACTTTAATAAAAGTTATATAATACCGAGTTACATATAATTTCATATTTATGGATATAACTAAAATGAATGTTTCCCGCAGCTTCATTCGCGTGAAGGAATTGACACCTTCACCATTCAGCTATTTTCATAATTTATAAATCTCGTGGGATTACTAGAAACCTTTTGTATAGGCGAGAAAAATGTTAATTTTAGTAAAAATAATATATATATTTCCTTTGAATGGACACACGGAAATAATTCCTCATCTTAAATAAATATTATTTTTAAAATAGCATTTTATGATTATATCAAGAGAATATCAAATTTATTTTGCACTAAAATCTTTTACTCTAATATTTTTTTTTAATTTGTTAATAATCATCAAACTCAAAGAAAAAGCTCTAATGAATTAATAAATAATTTCAATTTGAAAAAATGATTAAATTAAAATTCTGCTCTATAGTGATTTCAAATTAATTATTGTAAGTAAAAAAGAATTATTAAATACTAGAAAAATTTTTGGAATACATTTTTTAAAACAAAATTTACTTCAAAATTATAATACTATTTTTGTGACACAAAAATCCATGAAAAAAATTGATTTGAACTTGTCGTTATATAAAATACCTCTTGACTTGATAACATATCTAACGGTAGCTCTAAAAGTCAACAATCTATTATTTATTCTGCAGATATTTTTGAAAATAAATGATTAAAGTACAAAGGCTATGCAAACAGAAGAAAAATAAGCACAGCTGAAAACGAGTTAATTCATCCACATCTAATAACCGAATACGAAGCAAGATCCAAATAGTGGAACTTTTTAGCTTTTCTAGAAAGATTTAAATGAGTCGGTTGGCCACATTAAACCAGCTCATCCAAGTCGATGTCACCGATCTAATTATCCTGCTCTTTCGTTCTTGGTAAATTATCAGTCTCCCCTAGAGAATGTGCAGATTGTGAGACAGTGAAAAAGCCACCCTCTTGGCATTGACTCCAGCCTGTACTTTGGTTCTCTGGAGACATTTTGGAGACGAAAGGTTAATGGTAGGTCGAATAGAGTAATCATGAGCTCAAGTGAGATATGGGATTGAGTAAAACCAGAAGCAGACATCGACATTGAAAACATTTGTGTCTACATATTTTCTTTTCGACTGTTATTTGCTCAACTATAATGACTTTGCAGTAGCTAAGCCAGGTGGTGTCACTATATAATAATTATAAGCGTTGATCGTATATTATACCTGGCGACGGCAGACGGGCTGCACGATTCACTACTATATACTGCCTTTTATTGCTTTGTAGATTGCCTGTGTGTTTTCATCATAGCTACTGTATGTCTAACTTTGAAACAACATATCTACACATGTGTACAACTGGCCCAACACTTCCTCTTCTCCTCTCCTCTCCTTATTCTCACATCCAACGTTTATAATGTAGGTTGCCAGCAACGTTGATGAAGGGTTCGCGTGACGAGTATACTCTATATCCACTGCATCCTGTCTCTCCTGAACTGCTCGTTCGCACCTACTCACCTCCATCTCCTAAGCATACCCATTCTTTCTCTTTCCTTCGTTTCTTATGATTCGTTGTTCAAAGCACTGTACTTTTAATTTCTTGATCTGATCAACCTTCTTAATGAGGGCCACAAATATCACCAGTTACGATTCGTGATGGAGAATTAGGACTACTGCAAATTCATAGCAGCTGGTGACAGTAAATTCTAGAAATTATTTTTTCAGTTCATTATCTCTGGACTAGTGAATAGGTATAATCATTCTGAAATTATCTCGATTGTGTGAAGTATCTTTCTGAAGCCATCTTTTATGTAAAAAAAATTTTATGCTCTGATGTTTGAATTATTTACTCAGTAAAAACAGTAGTTATATTAATGAAACTCAATCCTAAACCTACACTTAAAAAAATTAGTTTTAACAAAGCAATATTATATTTTTTAAGCTTCGATAATTTGGTGTGTTGATTAAAAAAAAAGTTACCAAAGTAATGTTAACATTAAATATATTTAGAATATTCAAATAAAAAAAAATCCTGATATTTTTTTGCTCCCAAATTTATTCAAATGAGCATCGTACCTTAAAAATTAATTTCCAGTTATTATGAATAATTTTTTTCACTGATTCTTATCGATAAAACGCATAAAATATTTTTTACTCATGTAGCAGTTGTTTGACCACTTGTCGAAAAGGTCAGAAACTGGAACAGAGTCAGAAATTGGGCCATTTATCTTAAGTGCTGGTAGAAAAAATGATTACCCATGTCTGCTACAGATATATATTTTGAAACATTTATATCCATACAAATTTTCAGCTTTTCCAGATGGAATAACGTGGGAAAACATGATCTAGAACACGGTAATAAAAGAAAAGAGACTCCCTGTTGTGACTTACAATCCTACCTGATTGGTCTGAATATTTTTTCTGTTGTATGCATATTTTTCACTCTTAACGATACCATTTTTCCTCGTGCTGACATTTAATATGCAGCCAAGACGAATTGATCCCCGTTTATTTGAACAAACAGAATTGAAAGAAATTTCATGCTTTATCAGAGTTATAATATTCATCTTTAAAGTCCGTCATCATCGTCATAGTCATCACCACTATCAACACCATCATCATCAACTAACTGAATATCATCTATTGTGTATATAGAAACATCAAGTTGATATTGCTTTTGAACGTACCACCCATTTCTTGTACACGCGTCAAGACATAATTAATCATCCTAATGACTCAGTGTAATCGAAAGGAAGCGACGAAATTTCATCAGACTCCTTTTATCCTGACCAAATGACTTTATCAAAGATAAACACGCGAATAAGTTTATAATCAAGATTAAGTTATTTTAATAAAAAGAAACAAAAAAGCAAGTTGAGTGAATTTATAATTGTCGATAGAAATCGAGATTGGCTGAAGAATAAATGTATTTTCAAGGTTTTGCATGGTCATTCTTATTCGTGCAATATTCTGCCCTTAGTCTTTTGTAACAGATATATACTCATGTAGAACACACGGTGAGCACGAATATCTCATAAGTCCGGCGTGGTCACGCATCCCAAGACCAGCGGAAAAGCCTGCAGCTGCGACGACCCCGGTACTTTATTAGCATAGCCTATAAAATTGGACACCGTTTTGCTTCGCAAGCTTTACGATCGCGCATCGCGTAAATTATTATTATTTTTTTTGTTTAATTTCCCTTGATAACTTGTTAAAGCGCGTCAGATGGTATGAGAATGCTTATTAATTCCCCCAGCCATCATAGCTATATATTTTGCCAGAATTCTTTTTTCCTTTCGTCAATTATTATCTCAAAAATAAACATAATCAAAATAACATATATCACGACAATGGAATAAACTCACCTGCCGGTTTTCGTGATGATCATCTCCGTGCCAAGTTCATTGAACTTGTCCCAGAGTTCTTTGGTCTCAAGATGACACTCAACGCTCCTCAACTCATCTGAGTTGCAGGTGGTTCTTCGGTGTTGTGATTGTTTCCTTTTGGTGTCATTACCACTACTATATTTATTATTTGGAAGCTCATTAGAACCAAGTGGACCATCATCTACACTACTACATTCTTCAACATCCACATCAACTTCTTCATCTTCACCATTGGCAGACTTTTCAGTTCCCTCACTTTCTATTTCTCCAACTCCTTCATCAATTTCGTCATCTTCCTCATCATCCAATAGTGCATTGCCAGTAACTACAGTAGCTGTTGCGACAATGTTTACTGGTGATGATCTCAGAACATCTGGAAAAATTAGATGATTTGAATTATTCAGTTAATTAAGGTAACCAGCAGGAAAGAAGTATTATAAGACATTGCTAATTGCTTATGATATTATACATGTTTGTTGACTCGCATAGTTTTACGGTAGTAATTGATGAAAATATCACTTAAATTATACACAAGTAAAAACATGAAAGTTCACCAGATAACGTATTCGTTATTGTTGTTATTAAATGACATTAAATTTAAGCTGTACTCAATTAGTGTTATATAATAATAAGTAGAACCATGCTACATTATTAGTTAATTATATTTCCTGTGATAATATCACACATAGTAAACATATGTATTCAGAGTTGGTGAAAACTTGTAAAAATGTGAATTTATATTATTTTATTTATGTGTAAATAGGTTTAAGTGCATATTCATAATTAACGATAACAATAATTTACAATTCTAAGAATAGGAACGATAGTGTTGAATGTGTTAAAAATTTTTTCTAAGAAAAATCAGAGAATCGTAACTTTAATTAAAACTTGGAGAATAATAAGTTCATTTAACTCTATCAAAATATTAATCTGAGATGACATAGATTAGTGATGATAATTGTCAATAATGAAATGTTTATAAACAACAGAACGTGTATTTTACATAATGCATTTGACGTACAAATGATGTCATTCTCTTCATTCATGTAATGTATTTTTAATTTTATAATTGTTTTGCTGACTTAATTATTAACTTCTTTAAATAACTGAACATTATTTCAAAATATTTTTACTGAAATATTGGGAATATTATTCTAAAAAAAATATTTTACTTTTACTTCAACCAATGATAAAAAATTTATTATTTCTCTTTCAATTTAGTTAATTGAATAAAAACAAATTCTATTATTAAATTAAATTGTCCTTAACAAATAATTTCTTAATGTTATATTAATTAATACTCTGACTGCTTTAATATAAAAATAAATTTCCTATAAAAAAGAAGAATTTATCATTATATTTTATTTTGATGATCAATTTATATAAGCACAGTCCACCATTTTCTAAAATTATTTTTCCTAACATGGAAATTTCTTCAATTATCCAAACATGATTACACATAAATTATTAAAATAAAATTTTCTTTGTGTCTGTATAAAAATATACCAACACAATAAAATTCCAATCACTTCAATTACAAATCAAAAAATAAACTTTACCAATTCTCTACTTTCCTTTTCCATGGTATTAATTAGTTACAACTTGTACCATCACTCCATAAATTCGCATCTTTTTCTTTACACTTTCAGAGGATATTAACTATCAAAAAACTGGTTTTACGCTATTAATAATTGACACTGACAACTGTCCACGGTCTTCATAACGAACTTGTCGGTGTATCAGGGATCGTATTACCAGAAACGAGTTAGCAACACTTACGTGCGTAGGATGTGCTTATTACAAGTAAAAAAAAAATTATTTATTCACGAATTAGCATGACGATTAATTGTAATTATCGTAATAGCAACATTTAACCTATTCCATAGTTAATAATTTAACTCAAACTTAGCACTTATTGTTTACCTAATTGCTTTACAAATGCTAAACAATCGAATCAACATAACTCGATCTCACCTTTCTAAAAAGGATTACCAATTACTCTGTTTACGACACAAAATAGTACACTTATCATAGATGATCAAATGCAAAACCTTTCACGCAAACGAACGATTATTACAATCCTCGTTGAATAAATGCCATAGTTTCCCATTGCCTACACTCTTGCTGCTGTCTAGACACATTATGACACGTGCAGAATAGTTGGTTGGTAGGTGTTGTTAAAGTTTAAATTTTACGGAGAAAATAAATTCTATAAACATATTTTCCGGTAATGTACTGCATAATTTTGATACTAAATGACGCATAATTATGTTGTATTTCTCTCGTTAAGGGTGGTGCAAAGATACTTATGACTTGGTAAGTGTGTGAGCCAACATGTCCACGATTGGAATAGCCCTCACACGTTGACGTGAGTTATGCAAACTATTTACCTATCTCGCGCAAACTCGCTGTTGAGGATTTACGTCCATGATTAATTCGGCCACCGGCGTTTCGAGTTCTCCACGCAGAAATAATCACTGATTTACGGTCATTCATTACGAATAAATAACTCCGTACTCTTTTACTTATAGTCCAGTCATATTAAGTTTTAAATCAGGAAATCTAGAAATGGATAAAATTTTAATAGAATATTTGTAGGGGATGTAGAATCAGTTTCCCCTAAAAAAAAGTGAGCTCCGACACCGGGCAAGGGTTGAAATCACCCTTTAAACGCTTTTTAATGCATTTTTTCACGTTTGTTCTCATTTTTTTCGAGAACTATAATAAATATGAAAAAATGTTTCAAACAAATGTTGTAGCGGCTACGTTTTTACAAAAAAAAGTCCGCATCTTCGCAACCTTACCTGTAACAGGTAAAAAGTTATCGACCTCTAAAGGTTGGAAAAATTCAAACCGGTGAAAATATTGAACACCCTTGGCGTACGATACTGCTGTGAGAGAGACAGAGCGATACGTTCGCGCTTGTCACTCTCATTGCATATTTTCGGGCCTAAACGCATGCATGTTAAACTCCGCCCTTTGAGGAAACAAAAAGAGAAAATACATGAAGTCAATGAGTTAGAAAAAGAGAGCCTTATTGACTGATTTTAGGCTTCTCCGGAAATATCTGACGCACAAGGTCAGTGTTTTCCTTTTCAATACATTCTCAAGTTTTAAATGTATTGACTTTTATTTCAATTAAGTTGGAATTAAAATGTTCCAAGCCAAATAATAATAAATAAATAAATTAATTAATTAATATTATATAATTAATAGAATATGATATATTTATTGTGATTATAATTACAAACGGTTATTTCAATGGTCAATAAAAGAACTATTTGAGCGTAAAATTTATTTAATTTAAAAATTAAGTATAAAATCATTTTTAATAATAAATGAAATTTTATTTGAAATAAAAATTTTTTTTCTTTCATCTTCTTACTTTACATTAATATATTATTTATTTTATTTTTATTATAATTACGTAGTGCTATTTAAATGGTAAATAACACAAATAAAAAAAAACAATATTAACATAAAAATTTTTGTGTTATTGAATAATTAAAAAATAAAATAATATTTAATTGAATTTTATTTTTTAAAAAAACAAATTTTTTTACATTGATTTGAATTAATGTGAAAAATATATATATATACATTCGAATCACTTTTAAATATTATTCAATATACTCTACAAATTTATATCAGTACATTCATTTTGTTTTAATAAATAAGAAAAAATAATTTGTCATTCCTAAGTGACATCGTTATTAATGAGTCATCAATGAAACATCTACAATTTCTAAAAATCGAGAATCCTTTTTTTTTCTTATTTATTAAAACAAAATGAATGTACTGATATAAATTTGTAGAGTATATTGAATAATATTTAAAAGTGATTCGAATGTATATATATATATTTTTCACATTAATTCAAATCAATGTAAAAAAATTTTTTTTAAAAAATAAAATTCAATTAAATATTATTTTATTTTTTAATTATTCAATAACACAAAAATTTTTATGTTAATATTGTTTTTTTTTATTTGTGTTATTTACCATTTAAATAGCACTACGTAATTATAATAAAAATAAATAATAATATACATTAATGTAAAGTAAGAAGATGAAAGAAAACAAAAATTTTTATTTCAAATAAAATTTCATTTATTATTAAAAATGATTTTATACTTATTTTTAAATTAAATAATTTTACGCTCAAATAGTTCTTTTATTGACCATTGAAATAACCGTTTGTAATTATAATCACAATAAATATATCATATTCTATTAATTATATAATATTAATTAATTAATTTATTTATTTATTATTATTTGGCTTGGAACATTTTAATTCCAACTTAATTGAAATAAAAGTCAATACATTTAAAACTTGAGAATGTATTGAAAAGGAAAACACTGACCTTGTGCGTCAGATATTTCCGGAGAAGCCTAAAATCAGTCAATAAGGCTCTCTTTTTCTAACTCATTGACTTCATGTATTTTCTCTTTTTGTTTCCTCAAAGGGCGGAGTTTAACATGCATGCGTTTAGGCCCGAAAATATGCAATGAGAGTGACAAGCGCGAACGTATCGCTCTGTCTCTCTCACAGCAGTATCGTACGCCAAGGGTGTTCAATATTTTCACCGGTTTGAATTTTTCCAACCTTTAGAGGTCGATAACTTTTTACCTGTTACAGGTAAGGTTGCGAAGATGCGGACTTTTTTTTGTAAAAACGTAGCCGCTACAACATTTGTTTGAAACATTTTTTCATATTTATTATAGTTCTCGAAAAAAATGAGAACAAACGTGAAAAAATGCATTAAAAAGCGTTTAAAGGGTGATTTCAACCCTTGCCCGGTGTCGGAGCTCACTTTTTTTTAGGGGAAACTGATTCTACATCCCCTACAAATATTCTATTAAAATTTTATCCATTTCTAGATTTCCTGATTTAAAACTTAATATGACTGGACTATTACACAAATACACTAATGTCTTTTATTTCATTTTCTTTTCAATATTTTATTTTATAATCATATTGTATAAATGTTTATGGAATTTCGTATTTTCGACTATGACTTCTGACTAGTTGATTTTATCATGAAGATAATCAGGTGTCGAATAAAAATTATAATAAACTGTTTCTATAACTACTAGCAGACATCTCTGAATAATTCTACAATTTCACGCGTCATTTTTGTGCGATAATCGTTAAATTATTTACTGTGGCATTAAAAGGCTATCAGCTTCTGATAATTAAGACATATTTATAGCTAAGAAAATTTTTATTTTCGTCAAATAATAATTTTTTTTATTGCGTTCAACTTAAAAACGAAATAATAATTGATGCCGGCATATTTATCTACTCAATTTAAATGTTAGTGAAATAATTGTTTCACCTATATCAGTGTGGGTTAAAGAGGGAGTAAAATACCCGAGTTAGGTAATTATACATAATTTATTTGAAGACAACATAAAAGAGATCATGTATACACATACACTATAGATAAATAATTTTAGTATGTTTGTGTAAATATGTATAAATATAAATATAAATAGCCATTATATTGTGGAATGAATAAAATACGGAGCTTTAACAAAGACAGTTACAGTACATAATATATAGTGCAAATTTTCTCGCTGGATAGTATACCCGCATAAATATGTATTTACGTGTAATTTTCAGAATACTTACTCCACACCCGACAGTAAAGTATGTACAAAGATCATTCACCATTCAAAATATTTTTTGTTTTGGTTTTTTTCTCTTATTTCATTACGGAAAATAATATATAAGAAAGAAAGACATGATGTTTTCATCGACAAAGCCGCGTGTTCTTAAGTATAACAATTATTTTAATCGTGGAGGTCGCTTCAAGGCTTTTCTGTATTTTTATTCTCGTCTCTTCCTTCTGATTTTTATTTGAATTTTTTTTTTTTACTTTTCATCGAAGAAGGAAGCATGAACGGCGATAATTGCTGTATGAGAACATCGTACAGCTGCATCTGTTTCTCTTACGTGTTCGAGGAGTGTGTCGATGATGGTTCTCGTACGCTTGCATATAGTGTGTAAGAAAGTTGCCGCGATAATCGCTCGCGATCTTTGAGAGACGAAGAAACAAAAAAATTAAACTTTCAATGATGAAGGGGTACACATAATATAACTTTAAGGAAAATAGCTATATTATTAAACTCATTTAGTATCAGAGCGCGTGTGAAGATGAATATATATTTTCATTTCACATGATACTAAAACCTTTCCCATTGCGTGTAAGTATATAAAGCAACTGCATTACGTCTTACAATGCACGCAGAAACTCTTGCGTGTGCATTTTCAGCCACGCATTTACACGCCAACGGCGCTATTAATATCGTACACAGACATTTTAGATATCAAGAAGTGCTAACAGCAGCTTGCTTACCGATATGAACATTATAAAATTATATGTGGCATTAAAAAAAATCTCACTTTAATGAATAATCAATCTTCCAATCATTAGACATTATAACAGTCCAAAGCAATATTAAGATAATTCAATGATTTATGCTTTATTCATGCATTCATAAATGGAAGTTGAATTGGTAAAAATGATGCAGAAACTTGTTATTACTGAGCAATTATAAAAATCCATTAGCTTTATTTAGTATGATAATATAATTGATTAATCAATCAGAGCAATTGACTTGGCTTTCAACTGTCAAATGTCAACTTCTACTGTCGTTTGAAGTATTTTAATGTCCAACATCATAAATTTGTACTTCACTTTCAAGTGTTATTATGTTTTTTATTTTATTATATGGATGTATAAATTAAGCCTCATTAAATGGGTTATATTTTGATGTCGTCAATTATTCTAATTTGCTCTCTGATCGTAATCGAGAGCAATAAACTTTTTTTTGGAGCAACCCAAAGCATCACTTTCACCGACGGTATTATAATAATATTATATTAAGTCATAATATGGTAACCTTCTGCAACAATAATTTCTCCAAAAAATTTTTAAGCATTAAAATACATGCATATGTGTAGGGTATTATTTTCTAATTACTCCATTTTAAAAAAGAGGTTAAATATTATTTTTTGAAATACTTAAAGACTAAAGTTGTTGACTTAAGAGACTGGCTTTTGAAGATCCTGTTAAAATACAGAAGAATAACTTTGTAAAGACTTTGAAAAAAGGTTGAAAAATATTTAGTCAATATTTTGGATATTTCTTAAAATGATTTATCAGTTTCAAATAAAAATAAATAGTGTCATGATGTTTGATATTTACTCGTCAGTATATTTGTCCTTTGTCACGCGCTTAGAACTCATAAAAACCCATAAACTTGGTATGTGAACTAGAGAAAACATGTAGTAGTACAGATGTTGATATAAAAAAAACCTTAAAATAATCTAAAGTAAAGCAGAGAAGAGATTGAAATAAAAAATCATCAACAATATTTCCTTCAAATAATTCATCTATCTCATATTTTCTCGATAAAATTTTTTCTTCGGTTTCTTTTAATAAATTTTATCATCACAAAACATGTTTTTAACCTTTATGATACATAAAAGTATTTTAATATGAAGTATATTGAGATCCAGTTGGAAAAAACCGAAGCTAAATCACAAATACATGTTGCAGATCAAAATGAAAGCAAAACTTCTTTAAAAGCGTAACTAATTGATCCACACACGTGGAGGCCTTTCAATTCTTCATGGAATGGAATATAAGACCACGCAGTTAGCTCGATTGGTAAGCGCCCTTGTCAATTAAAAACTGAGACTGACCAGAGAACGTCAAATAGGGTGGTCTAAGAGTATTGCACTCGATCTTCAGACCAGCACGAGAGTAGAAATATGAGCTGGGCTTCAGGCGTTAGCTTCCCTTCGACCATGTAACAATATGTAAGACCACCCAGAATCCTGTCACCACTGGAGAAAACCGAAAAAAATTGCCTCAATAAATTGGCAGAAGTGTTTTCAGTTTCTATTTTGTAATATATATTTTAATAAAAATAATTACCATTTAAATCATTGGTACAATTCATTCAGTAGCTTCATCTTTGTCTTGTCAAACTTCTATTTTCATTCTTGTGTATTTTTAGAACAGTGAAAAAATATTCTAATGGCATTGATTTGAAATTTAGATGAAAGTTTGATCATAAATTGAAAAAGTATTGAAGTATTCTAATGAATACAGCACTAACGCTAGCCGTCGGAAGGTGAATAAGCAAAGTATAGACAAAATATTCCAAGTAAACTCTTACTGTGATCGAGAGTTGGAGATGCAACAAATCCTTTATTATTGCATTCAACAGTATTACTAGACGTATCACCAAGTCCCTGCAGGTGGTAATGTCCAAAGGACGGACCCCTGGGCGCCATGATGGCCGCGATACTGAAGTCCGTAGCTTTACCCCTCTCACCCTTCGTAGGCATCCCTCTGTATTTTTTTTAAATAGAACTACACTTTTTAATTCTTGGAATTTTTGGTGACTTATTTGTACTGTTTGTATTCAATTCACAACTGACACCCGGCTATCACGATCTGATCTTTGGTTTCGCCTCAAACTGTTCAGTATACAACTGTCTCGTGTGTTATATTTATTAAGTATATTTTAATCACGTGCACTAATCAATAAAGTTTATCACGAGTTGAAAAACAAAAAATAAAATAAAATATTTTACGACATTTAACTGTTGTGCTCACCACCTAGGATACTAGAATCTGTTTCTCGGGAGTTGAAAGCGAGCTTTCGAAAATATGCTCTAACAACACACAACGCGTCTGCGCTCCCCGACTTCCCGAACTCCACTGATCTCCTACTCCTCCTCCCACAAACGTTCGCCCCACCATCGACATCAGTAGTTAGGTTGGAGTGCAGTCGTACTGCTTGCCGAGGCTTTTAACTTGATTTCGAAAGTCGCGGTGATGCGCGCGCATCCACGATTAGGGTCTCTCTGGTGATGGGCGCGGCAAAACTCCACCGATGAAACGTCGTTCGTCCGACAATTCTCACTGAAATGAACCAACGCTGACTCTTGAATAACATGAATGGGCGCGGTTTCATAACATTTTAACCACGCCTACGAGAAATTGTTTTAGGTTTTCATCAGGAATCCGAGCGAAAACGTGAGAGAGAGTGGAAGAGGAACCTAGATAGAGTGAATGAGAAAGAGGGAGAGAATTGCGACACATACGACAACATCCGCACTTTCAAGAGCGCCGAAAGAGATCGATTGACTGATTGTAAGTTGAGTCTGATGGCTGCATTTTCACGGAAATCAGACGATTTATCTTTTCTACTTCTCATTGTATTCATTCTCATATATCAACACTACTGACTCGTATCATATTTTTGTTGAAGATATTTTGGAGCATTCATAATTTCAGATTATCTTTATGCACTTTGTACTTTATATTTACGGATTTTATTTTAGCTTGAGTTTCTCGAAAATTGATATTCTATTTACTTTGAATATTTTTTTGAAATAAAGTTTATGAGAAACACGAGCTTGAATCTGTGAATAATTTTATTTTAAACATTAAATGGATAAAAATCATTTTGGAGTAAAAATTAATATTGAGTTTAGATTAAACACGTGAAGTTTTAAAGAGAAAAAAATTATGAAAAATTGGAGTAAAGTACTTTCTCATTAAATAATTACTATTATTAAACAATTAAATTTTTATTAAATAAATTATTTCAGTCATTTTAACTCCAAAATTGTTTCATAATATTTATGATCTCTCTGAACAATGTAAAGTTCTAAAAACCCGAGTCATGACTAAAAGAAAGTCGATGATTTCTGTAAAATGACTTCTTGAATGCTATTTCTCCAACAAATTATTCGTCAATAATAAGTATCGCGATTAATGGGTGTCATTTTTCGGAGCATAAGTGAAAACAAAGCAGAGTAATATTTTTTGTCTATGTTTTCTTTAATATTTTGGAATTAATAGCCTGTATTTTTGGTCCACAGATATTCGGTCTCCCTTGTGTTTCCATGTAATAAGCGATAAATTACAAAAGCTGGAGGGCACGCAGTATAGGAGCCGCAAGAAGGAACGTGGGGTGAGTTGAAAACGCGATAAAGACCGTTACGAGGACTATATATACGCTTGTGCAGGAACTATCGCGATCGATCAAATGTCGAGCTGGAATCAGCGGCGATTGGTGGGAAGTTGTGAGATGGGAGAAGACAATCATCTCTGATCCAGTGGTTGAAAACGTTTAAAGACCCTTTCTTGCCCGCGCGAAGGTTCTTGAGACGCCTCAGGGCTGATTCACAGCGTGTATTTAGATGCTGAGGTTTTACCTAGCCATGTTGAGCTCCCTTTATTATACTAATTTCTTGGGCATGTCAAAATACTACCTATCTTACCTACTCTCATTCCGTCTTCTGTATTCTATTCGACACGCTGGGTGCACCCGAGGATAAAAGGTAAATCTCGAGAAATAAAATATGAAAGCTTGAGGTTACCCGCAGTTTGTGTCTTGCATTCGTTTCACTCTGATGACGCTCAGGTCAGAACCCGAGGGGGAACGAGCTGTCGATGTCAACCACCAACCACGAAAATACAAACCTCCCTTACAATTTTTCTCGCTTCCTGCTCTCGATGTAATATTATGTTGACTTTTACAATTCGCTGCCATTTTTCTTCCTTTCCCCTCTATTCGATCCTCGTTATGACAACGTGTTACTGGGTACCTCATCTCTACTATTCATGACAGATATATGCGGAGGCATACACGTTCAACATATATGGATATGTAAAAAAAAAAAACAAAAAAGTTAAGAAGGGACACATAATAAGAGATCCGACAATGATATAGACGCAATAAAACCTTTGTGTTGCATTCACCACGCCTTCCAGTCAACTCTTAATTTTCGAGCTTTATAGATCCCCTCGCCCCCTGACCTCTGCTTAGTAAATGTTTCCAATGACGAGTTGTATATTTCTTTATAAATTGCAACGCGTAATTACGTCATATGAATTATTACAGTTTAATACTCGAAAAATATTTTTTGACAAACATTTGATTGAACAATTATTAGAACATGGTGGAATTTATTGAATATTATTTTGGAGTAGACTGTTGAAATTACTTGAGGTTTTCCTATCTATTAAAACTCATGACTTATCGTCAGATAAAGCAATACAATTATAAAAACCGTTCGTGTGAATATAATTAAATATTTATAATATTTCTTTTTTATAAAATCGTAGAGATGACAATTCAATAATGATAATATCAAAAAGAAAATTAAAAATTATCGTAACAGATCCCAGAAAATAATAATTAAAGAATACAAAATTGAATCGACCAATCAGAAAAGTGTAACCATTTTAATCGTGCGCTGATTGGTCAATTTTATTTTTAAATTTTCGAAATGAGTAAAAATAAAAATTAAATAATTTTTAGTGTATTTCTAGTATATGTTTAAAATAAAGTCAAAATAATAAATGTAAATTGAAGTATTTAAAATACTTTAAGAAGTCATTAATTTTTTTAAGAATTTTAATTGAAATAGATTGAAAAAAAATTGTAATGTAATTAATTGAAATAAAAAATTAAATTTTTAACTTTATAATAATGTTCATCATCTTCATTTTTAATAATAAATTTAAGAAATAATAATCATGAATAAGAATTGAAATTTATAATTAAGCTGTCAGAATAACACCACTCAAGTTTTGTTAATAAATATCTTAACAAAATATTTTGACAGCTCAAAATATAAAAAGAAGTTACATACTGACCATCATGTATGTTTTTGATACTCTAAAAAATTGTGGTCATAGAAGATGTATTTATAAATTGTTTTTTAATAGCCCATAAATCATATTTGCAAACAAAAAATAAAAATCTGTCACTTGGCTGCTTTTTGCATTCGTCATGTCACGTCGCACAGAATAATTCAGAATGATGTTTTCTATCAACTAAAGTGACCAATTGAAATATCCCAGTGATCCTTTTGTACAATACAATCCCAACAACAAATCTAGAATAAAAGTATAGATATATCTATCCACTTACCCAGCTGGTGTGTAAGCTAGAAGCTAGTAAGTTTTAAGCTCATTATAATCCTGGACTACTCTACATTCCAAGCTTAATCAACGAATCTATATCTTGTGCATGACCTGAAAAAAAAACAATACATTAAAAAATTGACATTTATATAAAACAATAATATTTACATATATCATTAAAGAAAAAAAAATAAACCAATATTAAAAAGTAACAAAGTCTATTGTATTTGAAAATGTTATTTTTAAATAATAACTAATAATTTCTTTCAGTTTTTAATTTCATTTTATTTCCCAGCAAATGATTTTTAATAATTGGTTATTAATATAAAATACGAACTATTATAAAGACATAAATAGTCCTAATGGAGAACTAAACCCTAGCAATATAATAGTTCTAGCATTTTTAAAAGCTACACTTATCAGTTCGACCCTACTATCTAGTACGATTTTACCCATACCAAGCGTATAATTTATGTTCTCACATTTATAAATATTTATAGTTTAGTGAATTATAACATTTCATGATAATTTATAAAAATTGATGTAAACAACTTTTGAAGGATAAAGTATCAAACTCATCCATAATTGTGATTCCTGTATTTAAATATATATATATATGTATGTATACAGATAACATAACAGGTATATAAATACATAATTAATCGTAATTTTTCAAACAAAAATGTATCTTTTTTCTTGTGCGATTGATACTGAGCTAATTATCCACTATCGATCATCGTGGAGTAATAAATTGTCTAAGTTATATAGCATCGGTAGTCGCGAGTCGAATCAAGTCTCGAAAAGGCTTGAGGCAAGATATTGTCGATGGAGGCAGAAGCGACGGCGGTTCGCATGCAAATTATTGCATCTTTCAAGGAGGAGAGTCGTGTGATATGGGCGGAGAGGTGAAGAGGGATAAGGTGAGATATAGAGAAGAAGGAACAGAAGACAGAATAGGGTGTGGAGTTACGGTGGAATATAACGGTGAGACGTAGAGGACATCAAGTCATTCATCATCTGAGGAGAAGAGAGGTCCAAGAGTGGAATATGTATTTGAGGAGTGGATGAGATGAGTAGGAAAAAGAGAGCTACTGACATCGACGTGCGGTGAAAACGTTTGTGGTGGTGTGAAGGGCCACCCACGCGGATTAGTGGCGACCCTTAATACATATGTACATGGATATGATGTGTAAAAAATTTTATGTTATGTTGTTACATTGTTTCTTAAGGTAATCATACTTTTTTCTAGATAAATTTTATATCTCATGAGGTGATATCGTTACGTGTAATGATGGGCATTGTGAAGATGATAAATGCATGGAAAGGTTTGAAGCTTGAAAGGAAGGGAAGTAAAGTGAGCTGCGAGCGAAAAATGAGATATCTTTTTTTATAGATAAATTTTTATCTCTATTTTTAAAGGATCGTTTATGTTCAAATTACTTTTATTTTAAAAATTTTTTAGTTCTGGATAATAAAAAAATATTATTTTTTGATGAAAAAAACCAACTGAGAAGGAAAATACTATTAAACCATCATTGCAATTTATTTTCTATAATAAAAAAATCTTTTTTAATTCTATAAAATAAATGTGTGTCTTTTGTATTGCTAATAAATGAATTGACTTATAATTTCTTTTGATTTAATTCATAAAAAAATATAACTTATACAAAAGCAAAATCAAATTATATAAAAACAAAACTACAGACTTTTGTTATATTTTATTTTTAATAAACAAAGTGTTTTAGAATTGTTTTATATTATTATT